TTATAATGTTAGTCACTGGTTGACTTAAATCGTACGCCACCTCTTTTAACAATCGTGGTGGCTGCCCATCAGGACCTCCTGCTTTGCAAATAGATAGTTTACTGTTGTCATTGAAAATCTCCCATGGTTGAACCTGGGGGTGGGGGGTTGGCAACAAACCGGGCAAGTATGCTGGGAGTTCAGAGAGTTTTAATGGTTGCTGAGAATTAAATGCAATAACCAAGTGATGGTTGATCGCATCTGCAATTCCTACATGATTAGTAGGTTCAATATTCGAAACAGGAATAACAGTTTCAGATTTTCTCAAATTCGCCAGGTACCTGACCTCCTTGTGCCACCGGCCTGATTCAGTTTTTTTTTTTTTAGATTTTTTAATCTATTAATATTATGTAATATTTTAGCAATTGTTCACCAATATAAGCATAAATGCAGACAACAAGAATCTATTGTACATTTTAGTTTTGTGTTTTATTCATACTAGGATTGCGATACGTCATTAAATTTCAGCGAGGTATTATTATTTACCTTAATTAAAGCATAGACCTTAATATTTTTCTGGTGGTGAGATTCATGGAGATTAGTTTAATGGTTTAGAATGGCCCACAATTATAATTTCAGACCACAATATTAGGTATTGCCAATCATATAACATTGATTGGATCTAAAATTAATATTTTTAGCCCCTTAAAAATCAAAGTGATAATGGAGTAAGACAAACAATAACAAGAAATGAACAACAAATATGTATTTTTTTAAATTAATAGATCCTATATGCCTAATTCAACCTCGACTAATAATAATAAGTTCTACTTAAAACGCTCAATAAATTCAAGAATTCCTTTAAAAAAATAATTTTTTTATTTAAAAATTATTGTTTTGTATTTTTAAAAAACTGTCAAAGTAGGACCGTTTGACACCGTCTGGGAGTTCAATTTCTAGATATCTATTTGCTCCTTATTTTATACTCAGTCCCAACCTTGGTGCATGCTGAGGTAGGTGGGTTTTCAGACTGCTAGTAGGTAGTTTTCGCCGCACGACGTTAACCTTAACTTTAACGTTAGTACTACGCAACATGCAGCGCGATAGCTCCGCCCCTATCGTAACCAAATCGAGCCCCCCCCCCACGATTAGTCTGGTCAAGCCCCACCCTCATCGGCCAAAGCTCGTCGGACAGTCGGACCTACAAAAAAATAATAGCCTAGTTTTCCCATCCCAACCATTTTCGGCCATCTTGAAGTCCCAATTTTTTTGGGAGGAGGGGACACCCTCCCTCCAATACCCACCCCTGGCTCTGGCCTTGTGTACTGTAATGTATAAGAGACATTACTCTTCACATTGTGTTCGTCCAATCAGATGATGTGTTATAAAAATACTATTGATCAATAAAAGTTACAACTTATAATATAAAGACAAATAATTATAAATTTTAAAGTATAACCATGCAACGACATGTGCTGAAATAATTTCTTGTGACAAATTAACTATTACCATTTGCTATATATTCAGTTGTGATAATTGTGATGTTGATGCAAATAAAAATTATTAGTAAGGCCGATATTATGCTTAATTGTATACCGTATATTTTTTCGCACCGGCATTATGAGCATATATTAAACTTTGGATGAAAAAAAAAATTGAAAATCCTTGATTGACTTCCGACATAATAAAATGTTTTTAAAACATTTATGTTTGAAGATCAAAAATTAGCCAAGGAATAACAAAAGCGGCATGGCCACTGTGATCCACGAGGATGTGCTATAATAAATAATTTGCATACTGTAATAACAGAGAAACTGATGCCTTTTGTATTTCTAAATAATGTGTATAAACACCTGTAAAAGCCAAGAGCTTTTGTAAGGTCAGTTTTTATAGATTTTTCAAGTGTTCAACACTATTGTTCCACACATATTGCTAAAAGACTAATTTGAGCTTGATTTCGTTCCTAGAATTTTGTCATGTATTTAATTTCTTGACCACAGCGAGTTAAATGTAATAATATAACGTCAACAGTTAGTAGCTTAAGTATTGGTGTTTAGTAAGGATGTGTTTTGTCTCCGTTTTATATTCAAGTTGTTTTAAGATCTTGTATCCTCACTGCAAAATTATAAAATACGCAGATGATACTGTAATTAGTGGATTTATTGACAACAATGAAACTATATTATTTTGATGAAATTAAAATATTTCCTGAATGGTGCCAGCTCAATCATCTTATATTGAACGCTAACAGCTAAAGAAATGATCTCTGATTTTCGCAAAGCAAACAGTGCTTATGATATATACCAGGCACTGTTGTTGATAATAAGCTTATATGGGGTAAACAAAACAAGATTACTTACAAAAGGAAACTAAGCAAAGTTGTATTTTCTAAGAAAACTTAAGAAGAACTGTGTAGACAATAACATTCTTATCTTGTTTTATAAAGCAATAAAACAGTGTTTTAACTTACTGTTTGTACATATAAAAGCCTAACAAAACAATGAAGAAGCACAAACACGAAGGGACGCATTAGTAGGGGCGAAGAAAGTCTTTGGTCGAGTTCCTAGTCCACATATTAAGCTAAGCACACTTATGTTTGATGGATATGTGCGCTATATAAAACTACATTATTATCCGACCAACATATTAAAGAGAAAGATTGTAATGTTTGTCATTTCTAGCAAGGAAATTTATATTTTCTTTGCTTTTGGCGGCTTCTGGGAAATTTGATAGAGGCAGAAAGTTCAACAGTGTATTACATTGCAGTTACTAAAAAGCCTGTCGAATATGCTGGGGTGATATTATTATACACCAGTCACATAGAAAATGTTTGGATTGTGAACAACATGGGACGTTCTTAACTACGTATATTATAACATTGTTAAGTGAGGTTTCCATAAAATCGCTACATGCTGTTGATAACAGCTTTTGGATGGTTGCTCTGGATCAGCCTTACACAGCGCATACGCATCGATTACAGTGAAAACATTGAGCAACTTTTATGGAAACCAGGCTTTATTATGGATTTGATACACAAAACAGCATTGTTTTGCTGACGAAGTAATTGCAAAATAAGCATAAATAGGGAGCTTTCGATTGTGCGACGACGCGACGCTAGAACGGAATCACTCATGCGTAACCGTCCTACCTGGCGTCACATAGATTTGGCTAAATTGCGTTCCAGAATCTACTCGACCAGGTAACCTTAACGTTCTTGCATGCGCAGATGACTTTTAGTGACGTTACGTTCTACGTCCTACCGTCGTCGTGCAATCGAAAGCTCCTAAGTATACCTGAAGCGACAGAAAAACTGCTCATCAAAACGGCGATTATAAGGATGATTCCGATTCTGTAAAACATCTTAATAATATTAATTTATAGA